AGGCCTGTGTGGACAGGTGATGGAGAGTCTAGAGACAGGGTGGGGGTGAGGGGCATATGTAGACAGTGGGAGGCCCCGGGGAAGGGGTCTGGAGGTGGCTGGGCCTTGAGTAGGCGCACACCCCTTTCATCTGAGACTCAGGAAAGGAGGACAGGAGGGGCGCCTCGGTGGCTCAGTCGTTAAGTGTCTGCCTCCGGCTCAGGTCATGATCCCAGGATCCTGAGATCGAGCCCTGCATCGAGCCCTGCATCGGGCTCCCTGCTCGGCGGGGATCCTGCTTCTCCCTCTGCCTTTGCCTGCCGCTCCCCTTGCTTGTGCTCTCTCTCTCTTTCTCTGTCAAATGAATAAATAAAATATTAAAATAAAAAAGAAAGGACAGAAAAGAGCTCCCCAATTCCCACAAGTGGGGAAAGAGGTGGGGGAGGAGGGCCAGGGAGCCCCGGCCAAGTCTGGAGCTGCCTGTCTGGGCAGTGGGGGACGGGCACCATGCCCAGTGGGTGAGGAGGGCAGCTTCTCTGCCCCTGTGTGAGATCCATGAGTGCATCCTAGTCCTGAGCAGGCTGTGGGACCCCCCCCAGTCAGTCCCATCTCTGGAGCCATCAGGGAAAAGGCCTGGAAGACCAGAAAATGGACTTTGGAACTTTCATAAGGCCCTGGCCTTTGGCAGCAAGTTACCTGAGTAAAATTTTTCAAGGTTGGAGATGTTGTTTTGCAGCAAGAGAAACCTGGGTTAGACTGAAGGGAGAACTTTCTGGCCATCAGGGTAGCAGGACAGAACGGCAGTGGTTCAGATCACCTCAGTTAATCCTTCCACACGTGAGGACACGGAGGCTCAGAGAGGTTAAGTCACTTGCCCAAGTCACACAGCTCATACATAGCTGTGCTGGAACAGGAGTCCAGGGGCTGCCGGAACCTAGGAGGGCCTTAGGGGTCCCCAGGGCTGGACCCCTGAGAGAGAGAGAGAGCCTGAGCGAGAACTTCTCACCTGTTGAGGTGGCGAGAGAGACAGAGACAAAGAGAAATGAGTCAGGGCCAGAGATGCAGGGAGAGAGCAGAGAGGGAGGCTGGGTGAGTGGGGAGACAGGAGGCACCGGGGGGAGCAAGAGGGGCCGGCGATCCCACAGAAATGTCTCCACAACAGGAAGCGCTCATAACATACCTGTGGTTTGGCCGGCCGGGGCTGCCTGCGCGCTCCCCATGTTCCCTCAGCCGCGGCTGTGATGGGGGCTCAGGGAGGGCTGAGTTCCGTCCACCTCCACCCCCGGGAAGGGCGCTGCCGGGGCCACACCGGCCACACCCCCTCATGGTCCCCGGGGAGCCTTCTCCCTCGGCGCCCCCTTTCCTCTGGGCCTCTGGTAGCTCGGCTGTGAAATGGGCCTGGAGCGGGCCTGGAGCGGGCAGGCCTCTACATTCCGTCAGATCCGGGTTGGCGGGGCGGGGGGGGGGTGCCCTCTGCTGGTCACCCCTGGGACAGGACTCCCGGAGAGCAGAGCCGGGGGTGGGGTGTGGGGGGGTCGTTGTTAGCTGGTGGCTCTCCCCCTCCCGCAGCCCCGTCCGGGGGGACAGGGGTCTGTATTGGTGCCACTTCTTCCTGCCGGCACCCCGTCCTCCCCCCAGCCCCGAATCGGTCTGAAAGACCCTGGAGCCCTGTGCACTCCCAGCCAGCCCCCCTGGCCGCCCCGGGAGGAGGCCCCGGCTGCCACAAAACGCTGACTTGGACAAAACGCTGTTTTACGGGGATTTGTTGAAAAGGGGGAAATCCCGGCTAAGGACTTGCAGCTGTGCAAACACCTCGTCTACCCTGCCCGCCGCCACCGCGCTCGATCCCCTGAATCAGCGTCTCCTTCCGCACCCCACCTCGTGCCCCTGCCAGCCCGGCCTCTTCCCAGCTGCCCTGGCTCCTGCCTTGCTCCCTCAGAGGTCACCAGAGAGGGTGATGGCTTGCCCAAGGTCACACAGCAGAGCCGGCCTTGAGCCCTGACACCCCTGCTTGGCCACTACTGCTCGCGGGGAGAACAAGGAGCAAGCGAATGAATCGTTCTTTTCTCTGCACTTGTTCTCCGTGCCGGCTGTTCTTAGCTCAAGTCCTTTGATTGAGGCCATGTGAGTGTGTCCCCACATCTTCTCATTCTGGGCCTGGGGAGGGGGCTCCCAGGGCAACGACAGGTATCTGAACAAAGGAAAGGACCAAGGGAGTTATCGGTATGGTCTTTAAACTTGACAGGGACTTGAGTTCATCCAACTTCTATCAAGTGTCACTGTGTGCCAGGCAAGGGACAGAGAGTGACACAGCCAGAGAGGGACGCAGAGCTGTGAGGGGACGTGCAGGCCTCGGCGGGCAGGGCAGGCGTCCGATAGGCTTCCCAGGGGTAAGTCCACGGATAAATAAGAGTCTGGAGGCCAATGTGCAGAAGGCACAGAGCTTCAGGGGGCCGGGCTGTGGGGGGTGAGGGGCGGGAGAGGGGTGCCAGTGCAAAGGAGGCAGGGGGCTCGGAGCACCCAGGCACCCTCGGCTCTGATGGTGGTTGGGTTGGGGGCAGTATGTCCCACGAGGCTGCCACGACCGGCCGTTCCGGGGGCATCATCCCTCTCGGCAGCCCCGCGAACAGGCTCAGCACACCGCCTCTCAAGGCCATGGGCTTGCCTCCCCTCTGGGAGCTGGAGTGATGTTCTCTCCATCGGCCTGGAGCCTGTCTATCTGTCTGTCTGTCTGTCTAGCTGCGGCCCTGGCAGTTTTCACAGACCTCTGCTCCAATCCTGGTTGCCCGCTCTCGCCCACAGGTGCATCGCTGTACCTCCCTGAGCCTCAGGCTCTTCCTCTGCAGAAAGAGGAGTGGGGCGGGGGGTTCCTCGTTCCCAGGGGCCTCATGGGAAGGAAATCATTTATTTTATTTTATTTTTTTTTTAAAGATTTTATTTATTTATTTGAGACAGAGAGAATGACAGACAGAGAGCATGAGAGGGAGGAGGGTCAGAGGGAGAAGCAGACTCCCCACCAAGCAGGGAGCCCGATGCGGGACTCGATCCCGGGACTCCAGGATCATGACCTGAGCTGAAGGCAGTCGCTTAACCGACTGAGCCACCCAGGCGCCCGGAAGGAAATCATTTATTGAACAAAGCACTGGGCTGGTGCCTGACCGGAGGCCCTGGTGTCGCGACTGTGAGCTGTCATCCTGATGCAGACTCTGCTCCCTGGGGAGGAGACATCTGCTCCGGGGTCCTGCAGCATGCCTGTCACCCTCAGCCAAGGGAGCCCGGTGCAGGAGGTGCTGGGACAGGGCAGGGATGCTTCCCGGGGACCGGCATGGCCAAGGAGGCTGAAAGGTGGGGAGCTGGCTGGGGGCGGGGGGCCCTGCCTGGGCTCCTGGCCGGACTTGGGGCTCTTGCCCTGGTGTCCTGTCTGTCTATGCTCCCCCGCGGTCCTCTGCTTTTTTTTTTTTTTAAGATTTTATTTATTTATTTGTCAGAGAGAGAGAGTGAGAGCACAAGCAGGGGGGACAGGCAGAGGGAGAAGCAGGCTCCCCGCTGAGCAAGGAGCCCGATGTGGGACTCGATCCCAGGACCCTGGGATCATGACCTGAGCCGAAGGCAGATGCGTAACCAACTGAGCCACCCAGGCGTCCCCACAGTCCTCTGCCTTAAGCCCCCTTCCAGCTGAGCCCAAGGCTGCCCACACCCTCCATCGTCCCCCACCCCAGGGAGGCCTCAGCTCTATATGGGAAGAGGGTCAGGGCTCCCAGAGCCAGGGCTGTCCTGAGTCATCCTGTGGCAGTACCATGACCTTGGCCTCTGGCCTACCCAGGCCAGAACCACCCCCTCGCCTCCCCCTGCTTCCTGCTGCAAGCTCCGCCCACCAGGCAGAACATTCTGGCTGCGTGCCTGGATGAGCACGCTCCCAGCGCAGGTGGCCGCAGCAGGAGGGCCGGAAGCCCTCTCCAGAGAGGTGGGACCACGTGGTGTTTAGGGACTGGGGCTCGAGTGGCGCTCGGGCTTCGGGTCGGACCGTGCGTGTTTTCCCACGTGGAGAACAGGAGAGGCAAGCCTCTCGGGGCTGACCCGTTAGGGCAGTGCCCGGCCGGAGCCTCCATCAGCCGGACGTACCTGAGGGCCTGGCCCACGGGCTGCGGCCTTTTAGTCCTGGCATCGGTCATGGTGCAGACAGATCAGGGGGCCTGTGTTGAAGGCTGTGTCCTGGGCAAGATTCTTACAGGCGAGGCTTCCGTTCCCACATCTATAGAAAACAGGGATAAGAACTGTATGAGCCTCAGGGGTGACTGAGAGGACCCTGTGAGGCGGGGCCTGCAGAGCCCTGGGCTGGGGAGCCCCGCAGTGGCGGCCATTCCTGTTCCGGGGGCTCAGGGGGGTTGTGGGACATATACCTGCCCAAGGTCACAAGACAGGTGGATGGCAGAACCGGGGCTAGCGGCCTCACCGGCCTTCTCCGGAGCCCCGCATTCATTCCTTCAGAGCTTGGTGTGATACTGAGCTTGCAGGAACGCTGAACTGCACCTCTGGACCCAGCCCAACCCCAGGGACGGCCTTGCTGCCCACATGCGTCCCCGGATGTACACAACCCACCCGCAGGCCCCTCGTGCAGTCAGGCACAGGTGTGGAGAGGCCCCGGGCTTGGGGGGCGGAGGAGCCCAGAGCTGGGAGGCAGGGGAGGTGGGACCTGCCTTGGATGTTCAAAGTGCCACAGAGTCTCTCCTTCCAATATGGAGGGGCGCCTCCTACCCCCACGGCAGCCCTGAGAAGCAGGGTGTTGGTCTAGCTTTTTAAAAAAGACATCTCGGGGCGCCTGGGTGGCTCAGTCGGTTAAGCGTCTGCCTTTGGCTCGGGTCATGGTCCCGGGGTCCTGGGATGGAGTCCTGCTCAGAGGGACTCGTCTGCTTCTCCCTCTCCCTCTGCTCTCCCCACCTGCTTGTGCGCGCGCTCTCTCTCAAATAAATAAATAAAACGACATCTTCATTGAGATACAATTCACATATCACACACTTGGCCCATTTAAAGTGTCCGATTTAATAGTTTTTTTAAAATAATGTTGGCAGCCGTCATCACAGTCAATTTGAGAACGTTTTCATCACCTCTAACAGAAACCCTGCCCGCTTTGTGATCGCTCCCTTTTCCCCTTCCTCCCAGCCCGAGGCAACTACTAGTCCACTTTCTGTGTCTTTACGTTTACCTCTTCTGGACACTTCATATAAATGGAATCATATATGATTCTGTGACCGGCTGCTTCACTTAGCATGGTGTTTTCAGGATTTTCCTGTGTCGTAGCACGAAGCAGCGCTTCATTGCTTTGCCTCGCTGAATCCTGTCCCACGGGGTGGCTACGCCACAGTCTGTCCATTCATCCGTGGATGCACATCTGCGTTGTGTGGGACATCTTACCCCCTAAGGAAACAGGTTCCCAGAGTGGACCACTCGGGCTGCGTGTCCATCTCTAGAGTTTGTGCTTCTTCCCCACCGAGGCCTTGTTCTCACAGCTGAGCTCCGTGCTGTGGCAGGGCTAGATCGGGACACAAAGGGGTGAGGAGTCAACTTTAGAGAGGAAGGGGTGACAGCGTCCCAGCGTCCTGAAGGATGAGTAGGAAATTGAAAGAACATCGAGGGGCGCCTGGGTGGCTCAGCCGTTGAGCATCTGCCTTCAGCTCAGGTCATGATGCCAGGGTCCTGGGTTCGAGCCCCGCATCGGGCTCCCTGCTTGGCGGGAAGCCTGCTTCTCCCTCTCCCACTCTTCCTGCTTGTGTTCCCTCTCTCGCTGTGTCTCTCTCTGTCAAATAGATAAATAAAATCTTAAATAACAGACAAACGAAAAGAACGGAAGGAAAGGAAGGAAGGAAAGAAAGAAAAAGAAAGAAAGAAAGAAAGAAAAAGAAACATCGAGGGCAGAGAAACAGCAGCAGCAAAAAAGCCCAGAAGTGTGAGGCTGCCTGGTGTCAGGGGCAAAGGTATGGGGGAGCGGAGGGACGGAAAAGCGGTGGTAGGTGATAGGGTTGGAGACAGGCAGGGACTAGATTTTTAAAAGGCCCTGAACGTCCTGCTAGGCACCACAGATTTGATCTTGAAGGCAGAGGGGAGCCCCAGGAGGGCACCATCAACATAACGTGAAGTCAGGCAGACCTCAGACCCCAGTTCTGCTGCCCTTTGCTTTAGTTTTGTCATCTGGAAAATGGGGATGACAGTGATAATAACTTGCTCAAGTACTGAGAGCATTAAGGGAGTTCCTGTCTCTGGAGAACTCAGCCTGGGACCTGGCAGAAAGCCGGCCCAGCACATGGTACTGGGTCTTACCATCCAAGGGTCTTAGCAGGGGTGCGCCGGGGTCAGATGGGTGCGCTGGAAGGGCGTCTGGCTGCCAAGCGGCCGCTGTGGAGCAGGCTGTCGTCCAGGGGAGAGGGCCCCCGGGAGACTTGGGCGAGGACGGAGGGCGCTGCGCGGGCTTGCGGGAGCTTTAGCAGGTGACTCCCGCAGCCTCGGACACGTGGGCGTTGCTCGTGAATAACACCTCCGTCCTGATCTTTCGGGGAGCCCCTGGGCCCGGTGCGAAGCCCCCCGGGGGCTGGCTTGACGGCCCCTCTCGGTTCCTCCCTGCAGCGCGCCCGCGGACGCCATGCGGGGGGCTCTGACGCCCCTGTCTTCGCTGCTGCTGCTGCTGCTGGGGTGCGGGCCGAGGGCGGCCACCGGAGGCGGGGCCGGCGGGGCCGCGGGCTACGCGCCCGTGAAGTACGTGCAGCCCATGCACAAAGGACCCGTGGGGCCGCCCTTCCGCGAGGGCAAGGGCCAGTACCTGGGTGAGCGCCTCCCCGCCCGCAGGGCCTCGGGCGGCTCCTGACCCCCACCTCCCCGCCTCCTGACCCCCCACCAGCTCCTCCTGGCCCCCAGCCACGGCCTCTCCATTCCCACCTGAGATCTCCCCCCGCCCTTCCCTTTTCGTCCTGCGCGGGCCCAGCGCCTCCGACCTCCGAGCGGCCGGAAGTGGGGCGCGACCGCCTGGCAGAAGGGGTCTTCCGCGCGGGTGGGGAAGGGGCGGGACCGAAGCGGGGGCCGGGGGAGGGGCGGACTGGTCCGACGGGCTCTAAGGAGGGCTGCTGGCGCCACCTGGCGGCCGTTCCACCCCCCAGGTGGTGCAGGGACGGGAGTCACCCCAAGCTCCTGGCGAAGGCCCAGCCTGGGTAGGTTGGGTGCTAGGAGCCCCCAAGAGGGCCGCTGGACCTAAACCCCCAAAGCCCATCTTCCATGAGTGCACGGAGAGGGAGACGGGGTGTGGCCTTCATGAGCAGATGTAGTGTTACCTCATGGGGGTGTGGGTAGATGCGACCCCCGTCCCCACTTGCCGGGCCCCTGACTGCCCCTTCTCTCTGTCTCTCTCTCTTTCTCAGAAATGCCTCTTCCGTTGCTGCCGATGGACCTGAAAGGCGAGCCCGGTCCGCCTGGGAAGCCCGGGCCTCGGGGACCCCCTGGCCCTCCTGGCTTCCCAGGAAAACCAGGCACCGGAAAGCCAGGACTCCATGGGCAGCCTGGCCCTGCCGGCCCCCCTGGCTTCTCCCGGATGGGCAAGGCTGGTCCCCCAGGGCTCCCGGGCAAGGCTGGACCACCAGGACAGCCAGGGCTTCGGGGTGAGCCAGGGATACGAGGGGACCAGGGCCTTCGGGGGCCCCCAGGACCTCCTGGCCTCCCTGGGCCCTCAGGCATTGCTGTCCCTGGAAAGCCAGGCCCCCAAGGGGTACCAGGGCCCCCAGGATTCGGAGGGGAGCCAGGGCCCCAGGGGGAGCCAGGGCCCCCAGGGGATCGAGGCCTCAAGGGGGATAATGGAGTGGGCCAGCCAGGACTACCTGGGGCCCCAGGGCAGGGGGGTGCCCCTGGACCCCCTGGCCTCCCTGGTCCAGCTGGCTTGGGCAAACCAGGTTTGGATGGGCTTCCTGGGGCCCCTGGAGATAAGGGTGAGTCGGGGCCTCCCGGAGTACCAGGACCTAGGGGGGAGCCAGGGGCTCTGGGCCCAAAAGGGCCCCCTGGGGTGGATGGTGTGGGAATACCAGGGGCAGTAGGGGTGCCAGGGCCACAGGGCCCAGCAGGGGCCAAAGGAGAACCAGGAACCCGGGGCCCCCCTGGCCTGATAGGCCCCACTGGTTATGGGGTACCAGGACTGCCAGGCCCCAAGGGGGACAGGGGCCCAGCTGGGGTCCCAGGACTCTTGGGGGACAGGGGTGAGCCAGGTGAGGATGGGGAGCCAGGGGAGCAGGGCCCGCAGGGCCTTGGGGGGCCTCCAGGACTTCCAGGGTCTGCAGGACTCCCTGGCAGACGTGGGCCCCCTGGGCCCAAGGGGGAGACAGGGCCTGGAGGACCCCCAGGAATGCCTGGTATTCGGGGTGACCAGGGGCCTAATGGCCTGGCTGGGAAACCTGGGCCTCCAGGAGAGAGGGGGCTCCCTGGTGCGCATGGACTCCCTGGACCAACTGGGCCCAAAGGTGAGCCCGGTTTCACAGGCCGCCCTGGGGGACCAGGGGTGGCAGGAGCCCTGGGGCAGAAGGGCGACTTGGGGCTCCCTGGGCAGCCAGGCCTGAGGGGCCCCTCAGGAATCCCAGGGCTCCAGGGCCCAGCTGGTCCTATCGGGCCCCAGGGACTGCCAGGCCTGAAGGGCGAACCCGGCTTGCCAGGGCTGCCTGGAGAGGGGAAAGTGGGGGAACCCGGAGTGGCTGGGCCTACAGGGCCCCCTGGGGTCCCCGGGTCCCCAGGACTCACTGGCCCTCCTGGGCCTCCGGGGCCTCCCGGTCCCCCTGGTGCCCCTGGAGCCTTTGATGAGTCTGGCATCGCCGGCCTGCACCTGCCCAACGGTGGCGTGGAGGGCGCTGTGCTGGGCAAGGGGGGCAAGCCGCAGTTTGGCCTGGGGGAGCTGTCGGCCCACGCCACACCCGCCTTCACCGCCGTGCTCACCTCACCCTTTCCCGCCTCGGGCATGCCTGTCAAATTTGACCGGACTCTCTACAATGGCCACAGCGGCTATAACCCGGCCACCGGCATCTTCACCTGCCCTGTGGGCGGGGTCTACTACTTCGCTTACCACGTGCACGTCAAGGGCACCAATGTGTGGGTGGCCCTGTACAAGAACAACGTGCCAGCCACGTACACCTATGATGAATACAAGAAGGGCTACCTGGACCAGGCGTCTGGCGGGGCCGTGCTCCAGCTGCGGCCCAACGACCAGGTCTGGGTGCAGATGCCGTCGGACCAGGCCAACGGCCTCTACTCCACCGAGTATATCCACTCCTCTTTTTCAGGGTTCTTGCTCTGCCCCACATAACACCACGGGGGCCTTGCCGCCTTGGCCTCTTCCTCTTTAGTGGTAGAGAGACCTTCTCAGTTACAAGAACCTCCATTTAAAGAAAAAAACCAAAGGCTGAACAGATGCGGAAGCAGAGGCGGCCGTGGCCTAGGCCCGAGGAGACTGGTTTGGTTCCTCCCTCCATGCAGGCTGAGGTGGTTTCTGGAAGAGGCTGGCCGGAGTTCCTCTCCCCGAAGTGTCTGTGCAGCGTTGGGGTTGCGCCCCCACTGCAGGCAGGGGCCCCAGGATGCTCAGCCCAGCTGCCGGAGCCCCCTGCCCTCTCGGGAGTCCTGGGCTCTGCTGGGTGGTGAAGGATGCTGCTTCTCTGAGTCACAGCGGAGAGGGGACTGAGCTCCCCATTCCATTCCCCCAGGGAGACACAGGCCCAAGCCCTGCCCTTCCTGCTGGCCCCCAGATGGTACCTCGGATCTCGGCTGGGGCTCTTCCAGCTCCCCTGGGACCTCCATCCCCTGAAGAGTTTTTGCTTCCAGGGGAAAGCAAAGGGCAGGGAGCATCGAGGTCGCCAGTGTGGACGCCCTGCCAGGACTGCACCCCCAGCGTGATGCTGTGGCATCAGGGCTGTCCATGGCAGGTGCAGGTGCGTGGCCCCTTCTCTGCAGGGTCCTGGGAAGGGCCAACCCCTTTTCTGCTCCAGCTGCAACCGCAGGAGCGGTGGTTTGTGATGGGAGGGGCACGGATCTGGGGCACGATGGCGGCCCTTCATGTCCACCTCCTTCTCCCAGGCTGCTCCCACTGACTGGCTCTGCTCAGCATTAAGGGCAGCCACACAGGCCCTTGGGGACTGCCACAGCAGGCCCGGGGCAGGATGGACCATCAGCGAACTCGAGTACCCTCCCTTCCTCTCCTTCCACCTGCTGGGGGAGGGCTGATTTTTTCATACAAAATTGTAAGGTATCCCCCCCGCCAAGTGTCCCCAAGGCAGAGAGCCTCTTTTTTGGCCCTCAGAACAAGGTACACACAAGCTCGGGGATGAAGAAGGCTCCCGCCTGCTTCTCCTTAACAAGAACCATATGGCGGGTATGTGTGTCTACTAGAGGGGTTAATCTGAGGGGGCTTCCTCTCCTTCTACCCTCTGGTTCCAATTTCCTGTTCTAAGCAGGATTAGGGCCCAGAAGGCTGAGGCTCTGAGGAAAAGGGTGCCAACAGGCCCCTTTGGAATGAGTTGCCTCTGGATGTTTCTGCCGTTTTCCCCAAGCAGAGCGCCCCCTGCAGGAAACGGGCAGGATCCCTCTCCCATCTCCTAGTTCAAGCTCAGTGGATAAAGCTGAGATTAATGCTGGAGCAAAGATGGCCACTTTCCCAGGGGGCGCGGGGCCTCTCCATCAGCCCTCCCCGAGCCGACCCACTTCTCTGTACCAAGTGTGAACCTGGGTCGCCCGGTGTGGTCTCGCACTGCTCCGATTCTGGCCAGCACCAGACCATCCGTGTTGGGGAACGGTGGTGGCTGACCTCTGGCTCACTGCGCTGCGGGCCCCCGGGCCCCTGGGCAGGCCTCCTCCCCGACCCACTTCTCCCAACAAAGCAGGCCCTTTGCTTGTTTTGTCTTTCAAAAGAAGTGAAACCCAAAGCTGTGCAAGAGACACTTGAACAGGTTTTGGCTGGGGTTCATGATGGATAGCTTGATCTCCGATACCCGAGAGAATGAATGAGTCTCAAACCGAGCGTGCTGGGGTCCTTTTTGCTCAGCCTCCTTCCTGGGCCAAAGCCACCAGCATCTGATCGGTCAGGGAGGTGTTCCGATGGGTGGAGATTCATCAGCTCTCTCAGGGGGAGCCCAGGGGACTAAGTAGGGCACTGGGGGAGCCAGAAAGAGCTGTTTCACAGAACTTAGCTTCTGCTAAATGTCATTCCTGAAGCCTTTGGGGAGGGGTGGCTGGTGTTTCTGAAATTCTATGGGATTTTAGTGCCAGGTGTCCACTTGACTAGCTTTGATAAACGATGCCAAGTTTTAACTATGAAAACTACGGTACTTTGGTACATTTTTATATTGATTCCTAGGGTTTTTTTTTTTTTTTTTTTAAGATTAAGGTTTGAATGTTTTCATTGGTAATTTCATTTCTAACCTGGTATAGGAAGCTTAGTTCTCTACATACCTATTATGTGCCCTGTGTCACAGATTAGGAAAAAATGCACTTGGGAACAACAACAAAAAAAGCAAAAAGGGACTTCTTTTTGAAAAGAAAACCAGCAGTATTGACGGATTGTACTGACACCACCTCAATAAAACCTCTTGTATGAAATACCGCTGTGCGGGCCCGGCAGCAACGCGGGGGGGCGGGTCTCAAGCCTCTGGGGCTCCTGCTCTTCGCCTTCTCTCAAGGAGCATGCGTTCCTCCCCAGGCCCCCAGCCGTGTTTCTGTCACCACCACATCAGAAATGCTCCATGCTCCTAGGCTGCCAAGGCTCTGCATCAAGAGGCATTTTAAGCAACCAAAGCAAGGCAGTGATTGCAGCTAGGGGAGATGGTTTGAGCTTCCCTGGAACATTCCCGCAAGCTCTCAGGGGTACTGGGGCATGACAGCTGGCTCCGGATCCCAGGGACCAAGTTTCAACATTTGATACAAATTATGAATGAAATCATGACCCTTTGATCCTGAGGGTGGGGGCCAGTGCCAGGCCCACTGCTGAAGGCAGGACTCGGGGGGCTGTCCTGGGTGGAAAGCACCTGCCCACAGCTGCTATGCTCAGCGCTAAGAATCTGTCTGGGGCTCTAGGGATGGGGGCAGCAAACCTGAAACAATCCAAGCCCTGGAAAGTCCTGTGGTTTGCCCTGGCCCGGCAGGACACCGTCTCAGCTGAAAGCAGACCTGCCCGTCAGTCCTGACCTGAGGCTGGCTGCAGAACTGGGTATGCTTCTCTCTCCACTGAGGCTGGAAGGATAATTGGAGAATATCCCTGAAGTTAGAGGGGAGGGTCTTCTCCCTTTTAATTTTCCTTTCTTCAGAATGAATGGTGTGCAAAACTTCCTTTCAAGTGAAGGCCTTTGACTGGGGCCCAAGATACAGAATGAGGCCCATAGCCTTCAGTCCACC